AAAAAACTCCCAGGCACTTCAGGACACAAGCCTACGGTCGATCGTGCAGCATCCCGCTCGACTCCGCTCAAGCTTACTTAGCCTAGTAGGCTGTGTCCCAGGGTGTATATGTCCGCGCTTAGCCCAAATCGGAGAAGGCAGGAAGTCCGACATCGGGCAACCTTAGGAATTGCGTTCACAAGCGATTTGCTGCACAGCCAACGAATGGCTGGGACCTGCTGGGCCACAACCATTCCCACCATTATGCACATCTGCCAGCGTTATCTATAAATTACATGAACCTTCCCTCCATGGTTCGCAAGTGCAGTAAAGATAGACGCCCATCCACTGCCACTGGGAAATCTGCAAGCAATTGAGCAAGGTCTTCTGCCCACCTGCCTGGCCACCGTTGCACAAAAGCTGCAACCCGCATGGTGAAGCTAGCAATCCCTCGCTGTCCAGTTGACAGAGTCAACTTCACCACCTGTCACTCGCCAATCGTCCTGCACTGGCCAACCGTAGTGCTCCGCCTTCCGTGATTGCCGGGCGTGCATTCGTGCCGCTGTTAGCAGGCCGCCGCAGCGGCTCTCTCAGGTGCCCAGCGGCTCAGGTGCCCTAAGCGCACCGCCCTCCACGGCCCAACGCGAGGCTCCATTTAGGAAGTCCTACGCGGCGTGTTTCTTTTTAAACGGCGAGACCAGCGCCAGAGGAGCCATAAGAAGCTGCGCTTATGTGTTCATTAATATCGCTGCTTAATTGTCATTAAGGACTCCCGTGGTGCCTCAGGCAACAACTCCACCTGGTTTCCTTGCTTACTGCCCTTTTCAATAACCAATTATTTTCTTGTATTATTAATGATATTTCGACAGTACGGATGACGTTCCGAGATGCTCAATGCCTTGTGCCGAAAGCCCAACGCCGTGACTGTCGCAGTCCATCCCACTTTAGCGAATTCCTGTTAAAAATGACAAGGTGACATTAACACTGGCATCATGACACTAATGCCATTAAGGAAACTCATACATTCGCCTTCGCCTTCGGTCCCTTGGTTAGGTAAAAGTCAGCGCCTTGACCTTGGAACATTACTATCGGACATAATATTCGTACAGGGGATTAAGATGCTCCACCAGCTCAGCTAGCTCCATCCTACTGCGTAAGATCGTCTTAGCATGCATAGGAACTTTCCTACCCGGGAGAGCGGGACGCCAGCCTGCAGAAACCAACCATTCACTTAAATCTATACACAACATTCTAGACTGTATCGCCAAACTATAAAAGGGATTTTTTTGCGCCGTGAAATTGTGCGCCGTGAATCCGCCATAGCTGCTTTGCCGACAACTTTCATGCCACCTATTCTTCAGAGAAGTTCTACAGCAATATGCGTAAAGAGAAAGGAGGCCCTTTTTCATCTTAATACTTTTCATTTCGCCTAGGATGTCGTGAAGCTTGCATTATTGCTTCCTATGTATCTGTATCTGTGTATATGTATTTTTGTACCTATGTCTGTTCCCATCTCATGGCATGCACCTATGTCGCTCTCGGTACGGCGTCCCTTCGGAAGATATGGGCAACGGAAAGGAAGTTTGTTCTCAGAGCGGCCGGAAGACACTAGCTCCGCCAAGTGTGTTCAAAGTGGGTGTCACTCCAACCACTCGTTTCCTAACGAATCAATGTCGCCTTTAGGTGTTTACCATAAATAATCCTAGTGGCATTGATGGGCCGCATTTTCCATGTCAATCATTCACTGAATGATCGGGGCTTCTTCAATTTCAAAATAATCGTCCGATCATCATGTTTCCCTTACAGCGCGTGCCTTTTCCAAAGGGCCTTATGGGACGATCTCCTCTTTTTTGGTTTTCAATTTCACCCTATATACATAAGTCCTCACACTCATGGCTCCAGGCACTTTATTTATCTCATGTAAACATGGTTTCTAGGTAGGTAAGTGCTTGTCCTCCTTGTTTCCTTCGTAAGACGCAGACCTTGTTGATTACGAGAAGTAGCCGAGTCTAGGAGACGGGACCTTTTCGCCGGTAATTGTTCGTATATAGCTGTTGATTGTTCGGGAAAGAATTTTGTAGCTGCTACTTTGTGCGGTTTGCTCCTGAGTCATAAACACCTTGAAAGCGAGGCGCCCCTCTAATCTTGTAATCCTGTACTTGTCTGTGTGTGTTAATTCCTTTGGGCTTCTTCCTTTCTGTGGCGGTAGTTACGTGAACTGCACAAGCTGCCTGCTGTGTGCGAGAAGCTGTCTAGAGTTGGCGGGACTATACAGTAAATAGGTCTATGCTAAAGGGTAGGTGTCACGAAACCGGCTACACTGCTGCATTGTGTTCTAGCATGTGTTTACATTATATAGCAGCGGCAGCTCAACGGATGGGACCCGGTCAGCTTTCTGCTTGGGTGGGCGGGGTTCTCCGCTGCCTGCTGTTGCCTCGCCTTCCCTGCCTTCCTGTATATCACGCCTTCCGTCATGCGCTGACCGCAGGGCCTACCGTTAATTCGCGCTTTTCTCTTCAGCTTGTACTCTGCTGTATGTGACCTGCTGGTCGAAGTCCAGATGCAGCAGCACCTCCTTCCCGCTTCCCTTTCCACTATATGGATCATGTGCATGCGGAGGTGTGCTCGGCCGTCCTGTATAAGCAGATTGCTGATGCCCTTATTGCTCATGGCGCTGGCAATGTGCCTTTCAACCGGTGTTGTGGCTCAAGGCGCGCCAGCACAAGTTTTCCCTTGGGTTGGGACTGAGCCGCCAGGCATTTCTGGGGCTGTGGCTGAGCCGCCAGTAAACATCCCGCGGGCGCCTTATTATCCTCAAGCGCCGCCAAACGACTGGGAAGGTAGGTTGGCGGGTCTTGGGGATCGTCTCTATCTACATCGTCTACACAGGTATAGGTAATCGTGTGAGTGAGCCACCCGGGCCTGCCCATTTCAATTTGATGGCTCGAGCACGTGTACAGTATGCTTATATGCATATCTGTATTTCTCCTAAAAACGGAAGATCATTGTGCGCGTATCGAACTCCAACGCTGACCTCCAAGGCTCCAAGGCTTGCACGACGCTTATTTCGCGCGTGTGTGTAGTAGCTGTATATAGTACAGCACAGATATTGTCTATAAGTACGCACTAAGACCGGCGCTCCGTTTCAGCGGCTAGCTACAACAGCGTCGACCGTCAGTAAAATCTTTGATCGCCTCTCGGCCAAACCCTCGTATAATAGATAGGGATCGCGATCAAAATTTATCTGACGAACATCAGTGTATACATATGCGGCTGGCGGGTATGTATGCATCACTATGCATCAGCTAACGGTCAGCGGCATGGGCAGCTGCATGTGCCCAGTACGCATGACTGTATGCAGCGCTACATCATTACGTACGTGGCCAGATCAGATAGATGCCATCCGAAGCCGTGTATCTGTACGTCCGGTGAACAAACGCTGAATCATGAGCCTGCAGCCGGCGTGATCACTCCGTCATGTCGAGTCACATGCACATGTCGAGTTGACAAATAGAGGTGGTTTTAGGAAGCAAGAGTCGGTAGAAGGACCGCACGATGGTGCCCATGAGGACGTGGTTATCTGCAAAATGCATGCATCATACGTGCATGTAGTAATGGGTTAAAAGCACGCATGCAGCTTTGTATACCATGTGAGTGTGTGTGTTACAAGGTTGGGTTGTGCGTGACCCCATACCTGTAGAACTACTTATACGAGCTGAAGGCCCAAGGTAATTACCAAAACGCCTAAAAGCCACGAACGGAGAAAAAGAAACACCGCCATCAGCCCAACATCAGCCCAAACTAGCGCCCAACGGGGATAACTGAGTTGTGGTGTATACCATGCCATACGCGCCCTAGCCGTGGGCACCATCCTTGTCATGCGTTTTTACTCCGTCGGCCCGGAGGCCCCAAGGCGAGGCGGGCTGCTGGCTCAGGCATTCCTTCGTGGGCTGCTGCATTCCTCAATCATGGTCGGTATTAGTCACAGATACATCTACGCCGTAACGTATTCCATGGTTGCACTAGACACTTACTTAGCTGATGAGGGGATTCGCATATTGCTGACATTTGAGAGCTAGATTGCACTTGACGACGATGCCCACGCTCGCCAACGCACGCTAACGCAGGTAGTCAGACACATTCGGTTGTCAGGGATGACTGTTGTTTAGACTGCTGACAAACAAATGCATGGCCGCAGTGCCATGTATCCCCTATTCCGCATCCTAACATCCTGACTCGGTGCCTGTATTGATCTGACGCATGTGCATGCAGCGGCGGCATCATTCATCGTGTTGCTTGCACCCTCCCTACGCACACACATGTATATTTGCACCCAGCAGGCCCCATTCCGTCGCAACATCCAGATACTCCTCATGCTCCGACGGAAGGTAAGTCGGTTTAATCTGCCCTTGATGGGCCACAAAGCGTACGGATGCTACATTGCCGTAAGATCTCAGCTACGGTAGGATAGCTGCTTGATACATCCATGGCTGGGAGCCTGCCAGACGCACATCCTGCCTGGGTTGTACTCACTACTGGATGGTGCATGCACATTCAGGTGCAGGGTATTCATGTATTACCTATGTGTGCTATGTGCCCATGCCATACTTGTACCCATGCATGCAGCATGTATTTATGTATCCATGTATGCGCGTTCTTGGTTACTACCATGGAAGGCGTGCATTTTTATTTGTTGAAAGTGTAACGAATTACAGCCCGAGCGTTCTGCGAAGTCCTCTACTACTAATAACGTTCGACACATTTTTTGCTGCTAGGGCTCAGTAGTGTGAATTTTGTCTGCTGGTTTAAGGCACATGCATGTGCCACAGACCTCGGGGCCGTTGCTAAGCTTAGAAGCGTCAGGCTCACACACATGTAGGGTTCCCTGAACACATGCAAGAGTATTTGGTTCGGGATTGGCACACGAGTTTTTCCTTGGATTGCCAGTCTTTTGGCCACCAGAGCGACCTCTACTACCATTACTACCATCGCCGCCTCCTGAGCCGCCGACATCTCTCTACAGTCTCAGACTCGTGGGAGGAAGCAGTCCCAGCGAGGGGCGTGTTGAAATCTTCAATGGAACGCTGTGGGGCACTGTTTGGTAAGTAAGACGGACAAGGGGCAGGGTTTGTTTCGACCTTCCTACTTTCGCCACATATGGGATGTGTTGCACGTGTACGACTTGTTAAGTGGGCTGTCCCAGAGGCTCATGGGATGTGCTCCAAGCGACTGGCGATAGAGGAAGCTGTTAATGAAGTGTCCGTAGTTCCAATGTGGGCCAAAAGAGTATGCATTGTGTGTGATACCACCTTGGTGGAGTTACTCTCTGGAGGGGAAACAGGCCCATATGAGCCAGAGGCCCAATTGGCAGTTGGGCCAACGGGCCCAGCTGGCCCTTGCAAGGGCCAGCTGCAGTCTAGGGCTGTCCAGTATACATCCAACGTACAAGCGCACCAAAGACAGTTGAATAGCTAGTTAGTTGCAGGGGATTCTTTATGCTCCTACAGCCTCCACGTCCAGGCAGACTGAGTGTGTGCGGCGGTGTGAGATGTACGCTGGATCCGCCGCTGGCATAGCTTCCATACTGCCATTAATATTAATGCTGCTTGCAACCCGCTCCTTATCATTCAGAACTTTAGGTTACGCACTTCAAGGATTAGATGAACAGTATGGAGACAAAAAATAGTTCATGGACAGTAGGTCAAACGAAAACATGGAGACAATATTATTCAGGAGATATCCGTAACTTATCTAACTTTGCTTGAACTAGTTCGTGTACCTGGGCAGGGGCAATTGGTCGTTTTTACAACTGCCTGCGTGCAGCAGTATAATAAGCCTGTAGCCAAAGTAGGCCGTATGCCGCGCTTAAGTCCACTTGCACGCGAGTCACGCCTATGGCCGCTAGCGTTGAGGTACATAGGGAAGTGCTTATATCCATAGCATCACGGTACCCCGTCTTTGCACATATTTGGCTTGTTGTTGCTATTGCAGCGATGACGGTTTCGGTGACACGGAGGCTACGGTGGTTTGCCGGGAGCTAGGGTACGTTAGAGGCGTTGCTGTACAGCAATGGGGTGGTGGCACCGGTCCCATCCTCATGGTGAGCATTGTGTGCATTGATTGCTTAGTTTCATCCGCCCAGCAGAATAACGCGACGAAATTAATTCCTGTATGTATCCTGACTTGGCAACGTGCTTGTTTAGGTGAGTGAAGATGCTAGTACAGATATGTAGGTCCCCGGCACCTTAACCTAGCTCCATATATACGTTGATCATGCCTTCACCATGGGCCCCCCATGCACATGTTAGGTGGGTTCTTAACACCCTCGTTGCTATAGGCTAGCCGCACCACCAGCAGGTCTACGTGTGGGAATATGCATACCTCGGGTCACCGGGGTACCTGCTGGGTAGGACAACCCAGGCCACAAGGATTGCGTGAGTTTTGAGGGCACGCACTCCACGAGTTCGTGCTACTTACGTACACTTACCATGCTATCCACCGGTGCTCTTCTCAGGATGACGTTGATTGTGATGACTCTCCACTGCCGAGCCGGCTGTTTCAGTGTGGTTTTAACGGCTGGGCCAACTGCGACCACTCCGAGGTGAGCTTGCCATGGTGCCATGAGTTGCATACATTGTATGCAACATCAAACAACAACGAACCTTAGCTGGAAATCATTTTGGCTCTAGAGATCTACAGGGTGAAGGTCTGGGGATTATTATGACTTGGGTTTGGTTAGCCTTGAGGAAGGAAAGTCTTCTCATCTAACCCTAAGTCGTTCTTAGCCAAGCCAAATTGATAAAATTTGATAACCATTAAAACGTTATTTGACCGTTATTTGACCGTCCTAAGAACGTTGGTATGACCTCCGTTTATCTTAAAACCACACTTTCAAATTCTTTAGCATTCTTTAGGTCCCAGCAGTCTTATGTATTCTCTTTGATTCTTTGGGGTGTTCTTATACGTTCTTAGGGTAACTGATTGATTTTTCGACCAAAGCATACTTAGCTGCTCTTTGGCGGTTTTCAACCATTCCTACCACTGGTTTGCTAAGTATGGCTCTCATTCTTAAGTCTTATGCTCAGGGAATTTTGTCTGTTGCTTACATTCTTAAGCCTTAAAAATATGGGATTTTTAAGAGGTGGTCGTGATGAAAAACACGATCGTCCTCCAGCCACATCACCGATTTCTGCTTCCTCACCTGTACTTAGACTGACAAGTGCACATTTCTCAGGGGGTCGAACCTAAGACTTCAGGCAATAAGTGCTACACGCTATCTGTAATCCTATTCTGAACGAAAAGACGTCACAAATCCATTTAGCTGCCTTAAAACATGATATATGTAGAAAAACGTGTGCCGTACCCTAACATACGTGCGTGTACGACAGACACCTCAACACCTCTTCCAACTCAGCTATCAGCCCTGGCCCCTGTAATTAGATCGATTTAGGAGTTACAGGGTGTTTCCACTTGTCCGAACACTAACTTTTCAACATTTAATTTAATGTGGGCTTAATGAAGTCGCACACTGTCCGCATCACTGTAGCACGTCATCAGCAGGAATATGCAGTACACGCCGGTGACTGCCGACATACTTGCTCCATTATGAACCCTGCCATGCATGCAGGACGTTGGTGTTCGATGCTATGGTATGTGGGTTGCGTGCGTGTGGGGTTCATCATCCTTAGGAGGGCTGCTGCTGGCTTCTGACCGCTGTTCCTGCAATACGATGTACGCATAGCAGCTGTTATTTGAACACTGATATGGTGACAAATGTCATACATGAATGTGGATCCATGTATGGACGTACTATGATGTGCATGTACTTCGATACGTTTATGTATCAATGCATGTATATATGTGTGTACATATGTCTTCTCCTAATTTACAATCCAAGAGGTAGTAATGAGCGTTCCCCTTGTTGCGATGAAGCAAGCTTTCCATAACATACTAGAGCATTTGGTGAAGATAGCATGCACGGACTGATCAATATGTGGTTGTGCAGAAGAAGATCTGTCTCCACCTCCAGAATCACCACCCCTGCTGCCGCCAACGCCTCCTGAGCCGCCGACATCTCTCTACAGTCTCAGACTCGTGGGCGGAAGCAGTCCCAGCGAGGGCCGTGTTGAAATCTTCTATGGATCTAGTTGGGGCAGTGTCTGGTAAGTAAGACGGACAAGGGGCCCGGTTTGTTTCGACCTTCCTACTTTCGCCACATATGGGATGTGTTGCACGTGTACGACTTGTTAAGTGGGCTGTCCCAGAGGCTCATGGGATGTGCTCCAAGCGACTGGCGATAGAGGAAGCTGTTAATGAAGTGTCCGTAGTTCCAATGTGGGCCATACGTGCATGCATCCAACATACAAGCACTCAAGCGACAGTTGGCTAGTTCGTTGCAGTGGACACGATTTGCTCCGTCATCCGCCATGCCAGGCAGTTTGGAAGTGCATGTGAAGTAGCTGCTGGCGCCGAAAAGGCCTCTCAAGACGCGCTTTGATATGATCTTGGAATGTGGATAACATGTTTGTATAAACGTGATGGCGTGTGTGTGTGTGTGTGTGTGTGTTCTGGTGACCAGTAGTGACTCCCAACCCTTTCATTAGCCCCCTCATAACAAATGGTTCTGGAGTACCCTTAACCGATGGCGTGTGACGTATTGTACGACAACTACGTGCTATGTTTGCGTAGTCCGCTGGCAACACTCTTATCGTGCAGTGCTGCTTGGAACCGGCTTCCGTGCCATGCACGACATTGCCTTCCACAACAAACCATGGACTAGTCAAACGAAAAAACGGAGACAAATCATCCACGAGATATCGGTAACCTGCCTAACTTTGCATGCATTAGTTCGTCTTCCTGGGCGGGGGCAATTGGCCGTTTTAGAGCTGCCTGCTGGACGGTTTGCGCAAACACTTCGTCTTTGCACATGTTCGGCGCCGATATCGATCTGGCATGCACGCATATATTTGGCTTGTTGTTGCTATTGCAGCGATGATGGTTTCGGTGACACGGAGGCTACGGTGGTTTGCCGGGAGCTAGGCTACGATACAGGCATTGCCGTACAAACATGGGGTGGTGGCACCGGTCCCATCCTCATGGTGAGCATCATGCGCATTAATTGCTTTCAGCCGGCCAGCAGGATAATGCGACGAAATTAATTCCTGTATGTATCCTGACTTGGCAACGTGCTTGTTTAGATGAGTAAAGATGCTAGTACAGATATGTAGGTCCCCGGCACCTTAACCCAGCTCCATATACGTTGATCATGCCTTCACCATGGCCCCCCCCCATGCACATGTTAGGTGGGTTCTTAACACTCTCGTGGTCTATAGGCTAGCCGCACCACCAGCAGGTCTACGTGTGGGAATATGTATACCTCGGGTTACCGGGGTACCTGCTGGGTAGGACAACCCAGGCCACAAGGATTGCGTGAGTTTTGAGGGCACGCACTCCACGAGTTCGCGCCACATACATACACTTACCATGCTATCCACCGGTGCTCTCCTCAGGATAACGTTTTTTGTTATGGCTCTCCACCGCCGAGCCGGCTGTATCAGTGTCGTTTCAACGGCTGGGGCATGCATGACTGTAGCCATTCTGAGGTAAGCATGTTTGGATGCAATACCGATCCTTAGCTACCTACGACAAACATGTAAAGTAAGGAACCGATATCCTTGACGACCGACGGTGCATGGTCCTATGGTCCCTTATCCATGGGCTTGTCCATTAATGGTCGGAAATAAGGCGTCCCTGGTTGTTCGAACCGAATATTCTTTGTACTCACGAGAATTGTTGAAACATTTTGCCCACCGTATATTTGGGAACTCTGCCTGCGAGGTTTATCGATGTGCTCTTTGTAGTTCATTTGAACTTTTTAAATGGATAGTTTTACCCTCTCCACAGTGTCGTGTGGTTCACTGCAGTATTATGTTGCAGCGGGCGACTACCGTACTGCTACGAATGTTTCGCGCCACACCTTTCGCGGGTACCCCAAAAATATAGCTGGAATTTTTCGTTTTGTTACACCAATTCGCGAGGGCTGTCAGTTTTTATGGCACACATTTGTTTACATGAACACACATTTCGCGGGGCTCCAGGGAAGCCACAACAGGGCTTCATGGTCAACGCATTGTCACGTAGCGTGCCAGGATGTCCGGCAAACAACAGTTACAATAAAAGGAAGCTATAACTATATGAAAAATTCAGTTCTGGCGTGTAAAAACTCAGTTCTGGCTGTTCTACACCATGTACACGGCGTACAACACATTCGTGCCACACATTTTCGCGACAAGTGAATAATGTTCCCCATAGAGCTTTTTCCACTGTGACACACTTCGTGGCCCAAAACGAAAGGTGTGGCGCGAAACATTCGTAGCAGTACGGTACACTGCGGGTACATTTCTGTGCGTGAAGGGCTGTTTGTATAGCATAGCCCGGCCCTAGGCATCTCTAAAAATGTAGCCGACCTTCGAAAGGTCCTCGGCACACGTTGTACGGCACCAGCCAGGTAGTATCAAACAACTGTAGCCGCAAGTAGCAGAGAGTAGCACTGTTACGAGTCCAGTGATTTTTTTTCATTTAGGGCGGGTCTCAATTTATTCCAACCCAAGTAACAAAGTTGCTAGGGTCGTCGTAATATATCTTAAGTGTGGGGCGCTGGGGGGGGCTACGCCCCTCCAGAACCCCCCCAATAAGTTACAACTCCCCTAGTAGACCAAGAGGCACGCACTGAGTTGGCGCGTTTTCGTTCATGTGCGCACTCTTCATGCACATGCATAGATAGTTCTGGCACTGTTGTGCGAGCAATTAGTAAAATCGACCAAGCAAAGGCCCAAAGCAAGCAACCGCGTAGCAAATCACAGGCCGTCACCCGCCACTGCAAACCACAGCACACTAGGACTCTACCGGTTCATCATGTACCGGCCCCTGCTGCTGCTGTCCAGCCACTTCCTCGTCGCCGCTGGCAGCAACACCATTGCCGATGCATTACCGACAACAGCACCGCCGTCCCAAACGCCTTTATCAGGAAAAATTTCAGGCATATCTTGCTGTTTTGGTGTTTGTTCGACGTTTGAGTCGTTGCCTTTTGCGTGTTTGGCTATGTGAGGACCGGTCACACATTCTGCTATGCCGCGTTGACTCACGGGCTTGACCTTCTTACGGCCCCTCATACCTATTCTATGATTGAAAATACTAAGTTCTGCACACTACGGAGCAATCTGGCGGCAATGGACGTTTTTGGCTGGAGGAATGAAAATGTACGGATCGGCCTCAATTCATTCCTTTTTCCAAAGGCCAAAATGGCCTGTTTATTCCTTTTAAGGAATATATTACTTAAAATAAAGAACTGTACGAGTCCCGACGAGCATTGTGCCACGGCGGCACATAGCATGGGCATATGTTGCAGGATCCGGATGCGCGTCATCATCATACAAGACATTTGGAAGGTAGTCCAGATAGGTGGAACTCTAACCACCGCAGGTCCAATAAGCAATAACACTTATTGATTTGATCTGAATGATGGGGAAGAGATGGCATGCACCGGATAGATTGCCTATAGACATCCCTCAATTTCACAGACGTACAAGTTGTACAGCATAGCTTCCTGATAGGTTAGGTGAGCAAGGTTTCAACCGGCAACGGGAACTAGTGGGCTGACCTGCAGGTGGCACGGGCAGAAGCCCACACGTTGCTGTATGTGGTGTCGGAGTGCTGATGAGTGAACTCGCGCAATTTACGCACGAGCATGCGACAGGCCATGTTACCGAGGACAATATTCGGCAATCAACTCGCGCGTGAAGCTGAAGAGCCTATAGGTAGCTACGTAGCTACCGTAGGCTGCCGTAGGTATACATTCGCTTCCGCCAAGCACACGGAAAGCCTTGGCTTTACTTTGCCTCACGTCGGCAAAATTTATTTATATCTTGTAAAGTTAGAAGAGGGCGTCGTCTACAGGCGATTGAAAATTTTAATAGGTAGGGACGGTCCCTACCTACTATACGAACGCGTCGCTAGATAATTTTTACTGACGCCCCTAAGCGCACGAACATCTTTAGGTATGTCATAGACAGGATGATGAAACGATAATGTATGATGTATATGCAATGCATAACATAAACAACAAGTGCACTGGTACTTCGTAGGGGTATAAAGCCGGGATACAAAAGCACTACTAAAATATCATTTATTTAGCTCATCGTTCTCCTAGCAGCAAGCTACCTAATGAAGTCGCACACTGTCCGCATCACTGTAGCACGTCATCAGCAGGAATATGCAGTACACGCCGGTGACTGCCGATATACTTGCTCCATTATGAACCCTGCCATGCATGCAGGACGTTGGTGTTCGATGCTATGGTATGTGGGTTGCGTGCGTGTTGGGTTCATCACCCTTAGGAGGGCTGCTGCTGGCTTCTGACCGCTGTTCCTGCAATACGATGTACGGACAGCAGCATTTATTTGAACACTGATATGGTGACAAATGTCATACATGAATGTGGATCCATGTATGGACGTACTATGATGTGCATGTACTTCGATACGTTTATGTATCAATGCATGTATATATGTGTGTACATATGTCTTCACCTAATTTACAATCCAAGAGGTAGTAATGAGCGTTCCCCTTGTTGCGATGAAGCAAGCTTTCCATAACATACTAGAGTATTAGGTGAAGGTAGCATGCACGGACTGATCAATATGTGGTTGTGCAGGAACGAGGTCGCCAGATCCGCCGTCACAGCCGCCACTACCATCACCACCGCCTCCTGAGCCGCCGACATCTCTCTACAGTCTCAGACTCGTGGGCGGAAGCAGTCCCAGCGAGGGCCGTGTTGAAATCTTCGATGGAACGCTGTGGGGCACTGTCTGGTAAGTAAGACGGACAAGGGGCCCGGTTTGTTTCGACCTTCCTACTTTCGCCACATATGGGATGTGTTGCACGTGTACGACTTGTTAAGTGGGCTGTCCCAGAGGCTCATGGGATGTGCTCCAAGCGACTGGCGATAGAGGAAGCTGTTAATGAAGTGTCCGTAGTTCCAATGTGGGCCATACGTGCATGCATCCAACATACAAGCACTCAAGCGACAGTTGGCTAGTTCGTTGCAGTGGACACGATTTGCTCCGTCATCCGCCATGCCAGGCAGTTTGGAAGTGCATGTGAAGTAGCTGCTGGCGCCGAAAAGGCCTCTCAAGACGCGCTTTGATATGGTCTTGGAATGTGGATAACATGTTTGTATAAACGTGATGGTGTGTGTGTGTGTGTGTTCTGGTGACAGTAGTGACTCCCAACCCTTTCATTAGCCCCCTCATAACAAATGGTCCTGGATTAAACTTTACCGATGACGTATTGTACGACAACTACGTGCTATGTTTGCGTAGTCCGCTGGCAACACTCTTATCGTGCAGTGCTGTTTGGAACCGGCTTCCGTGCCATGAACGACATTGCCTTCCACAACAAACCATGGACTAGTCAAACGAAAAAACGGAGACAAATCATCCACGAGATATCGGTAACCTGCCTAACTTTGCATGCATTAGTTCGTCTTCCTGGGCGGGGGCAATTGGTCGTTTTACAGCTGCCTGCTGACCGGTTTGCGCAGACACTTCATCGTTGCACATGTTCGGCGCCAATATCGATCTGGCATGCACGCATAGATTTGGCTTGTTGTTGCTATTGCAGCGATGACTACTTCCATCACACGGAGGCTACGGTGGTTTGCCGGGAGCTAGGGTACGATACAGGCATTGCCGTACAAACATGGGGTGGTGGCAGCGGTCCCATCCTCATGGTGAGCATTGTGTGCATTGATTGCTTAGTTTCGGCCGGCCAGCAGAATAACGCGACGAAATTAATTCCTGTATGTATCCTGACTTGGCAACATGCTTGTCTAGATGAGTAAAGATGCTAGTACAGATATGTAGGTCCCCGGCACCTTAACCTAGCTCCATGTATACGTTGATCACGTCTTCGCCATGCCCCCCATGCACATGTTAGGTGGGTTCTTAACACCCTCGTTGTCTATAGGCTAGCCGCACCACCAGCAGGTCTACGTGCGGGAATATGCATACATCGGGTTGCAGGCGTACCTGCTAGGTAGAGCAACCCAGGCCACAAGGAGTGCGTGAGTTTTGAGGGCACGCACTCCACGAGTTCGCGCCACATACATACACTTACCATGCTATCCACCGGTGCCTTTTGTAGGATAACGTTGATTGTGATGACTCTCCACTGCCGAGCCGGCTGTTTCAGTGCAGCTTCAGCGGCTGGGGCATGCATGACTGTAGCCATGCTGAGGTGAGCATGTATGGATGCAATATGTATGATCCTACAGCTACCCACGACGAACCTTGTCCCACTCAAACAAATGTGCCTGTTTCTTATTTGGATAGACGTCTTTGCCCAGTTGCGTGTGATGGCATAGCGACCGAAACGAGAAATAGATGCTATGTTGACGTTATCCTCAGTTTGCACGCTGAGGTTTATGGCGGCAGAACCGATACGCTTGACGACGGGCGGTCCATAATCTATGGTCTGGTCCACTTATGGGCGAAAGGCGTCCCTGGTTGTTCAAACCGAATATTCTTTGTACTCAGTAGAAGTTTTTCGCCCACCTTGTATTTGGCAACTCTGTTTTCGGTGTGCTCTTTGTAGTTGCTCCTTTTTGAATGGATAGTTTTACCCTCTCCACATTGTCGTGTGTTTCACTACAGTATTTTGTTGCAGCGGGCGAGTACACTGCGGGTACATTTCTGTGCGTGAAGGGCTGTTTGTACAGCACAGCCCTAGCTGGGCATCTCTAAACAATGTAGCCGACCTTCGAAAGGTCCTCGGCACAAGTTGTACGGCACCAGCCAGGTAGTATCAAACAGCTGCAGCCGCAAGTAGCAGAGAGCAGCGCTTTTACGAGCACTCGTACTAGTCCCGACGAGCAATTTGCCATGGCGGCACATAGCATGGACATATATATGTCAGCAGGCACTTCTGGTAATGCGCGACCATTGCCCCAGGAGATCCCGGGATCGAGACCTGTCCGGGCATAAGTCCTTCCAATGGTGTAAGGTATTGGGCCCCTAGTTGATGGATGGTGGTGACCTGGGATAAAGTTAACCTGCGAGCCGACCAGGAATGGAGTTGGGCCGCTGTCGACCCGGCAGATTCCGTTGGATGCTGGTGGTGGGTGCGGAACCTGAGCGATCCACTGAGAAGGCCCCTGTGACGCTTGACTAGGGTGACTGGATGAGGGTGCCCCGGAATAATAGGGAAGGCAAGGTTTCGCAGGGTAGCTGCCACGGGTGAAGATATACTCCCCCGCTTCACACATTATATATGCTGCAGGATACTCAGCAAGCAGCATGAAAGGCATCTGCAAGGTAATAACCCAGATGGGTGCCAACTCGTGCCCCAGCAGGTCCGAGCATACATTATTCACACTACTCAAAATATGACCCGAACAGGAAGGAAAAGACATACATGCAGCATATAGTTAGGAAGAAAGGTTATGATGGGTGGGGGCGGGGAGCGAGCCATGTCCAGCTCGACCAGGCGCCAAGTGCGGAATACCCACTGCCAGTAGTCAAAACAATCCAAGCTTCATTACTGTACTGGTATACTGTACTGGTGCTGGTACTGTATTTTGTATGTCCTGGTATACAAAGGGGGGACAAAAGTAATAATAAATGTAGTCCATGAGACCCCTTTTTGCGATTTGTGTCAGACAAATGCAAGTTGTTATGTTCACAGGCCTGTGAACGCTCCTAGGAGCGGCCACCGATACCGGGAGCGGCCATCGATGGACGATTAGCTATCAACTATTCTTGTTTCTTTTTTGGGGGTTCTTTTAATTCAGGGACTTTTGGGGCTCAGGCCTCATTTAGTAATGGTTGTGGGTTCCGAGCATTCCCTTTGGATGCACTTCTGGCTGTCTAGATGACTTGCGCTGCCGCATCTGGGTGGAAGTCTTGTTTGTCATGTTCGTCTCAGGTGCAGTAATGTACGGCCAGCTGGCCAGCTGGCTCTAGTCTTCGTGAGTCTGGAGACCACTGTAACAACACACACACACACACACACACACACACTTACTTACATCTTATAGCCCACTAGAGTCATTAAAGTGTCCACATGGCGACAGCACATGAGTTATGGAAAAGGCACGATCCAACACGCTTGTATTCGCTTCTCCTTACTGCTTGCACGCAGGACGTTGGTGTTCGATGCTACGGTATGTGAGTTGTGCATGCGCATGGCCACCCCAATACGTGCTCACCAATTAATGTTTGGACCAGCTCATCGCTGGTATATACCTGCCATGTACGCCGTATTTCCGCAGTCTAATAGATTGGCGCCGCGTGGTCTATCTTCTTTACATGCACTGCACCGTGGGCGGCTCACATATGAATAGACACATGCATGAGTCGTGCATATGTACACTGTAGTGTACACATACAGCATATGAGTATATGCATATCATTATCTAGATATTATGATCCCCGGGATAATGTCATTTCCCCATGTTTGGATAAAGAAACTCCCCCATAACATTCAAGAGTATCCAGCAGCTAAGGTAGCATGCATGGACTGATCAATGTGTCGTTTTGCAGAAACGCCAGATCCACCGCCACCACCACCACCATCGCCGCCACTATTACCGCTGCCGCCACCACCGCCTCCTGAGCCGCCCGCATCTCTCTACAGTCTCAGACTCGTGGGCGGAAGCAGTCCGAGCGAGGGCCGTGTTGAAATCTTCTATGGATCTAGTTGGGGCACTGTCTGGTAAGTAAGGAGACGGGGCGGATTTTGGATTTTCCCTCGTCATTCAGGGTATGATGCATCATAGAGCTTGTGTATGGCCTGACACATACGCACACGGTCTACATATCCATTTATCAATGCACAGATAATTATCTGTGCATCTGCAATTCATACATACGACCCCGGGCGAGATACCTGTACCTTCGACGGAATAATGTCTACAGACGACCTATTGTACATTTACCATGGCATGATCTATAGCTATAGACCAAGAAGCGTTTTACAGATAGATGCCTGCTGCTGACGTTATCCCCTACCTGTTGTCTTACATTAGCAACTCATGGGAGCTTGCTTAAACAAGTAGCAAACAACGAATGAAAGCAGATACGTGTCGTGTACACGTGCATGTGTAAGAAGTTAGTTATTGGTACGCTTAGTAGGTAGATGTGAAGTATCGCCACGCGCCTTGCCATCGCAACAGGACTGTTACTAGTAATACGGAAATCTTTGCACTCATACTTCGCACTGCCGCCAGGTACCGCCATTTAATAAGTTAGGACCGGCACAGATGTTGTTGTATGGCACAACCACAGCTGCAGTTGTGATAACACCAACTCGTAAATTACCGGTGGGGCAAATGGATGGATTAGGTAGTCGCAGCAGGCCAAGGATGCACTTGGGCCTCGCGCCGAAAAGATAGACCCCAGTGCGACTGGGCGACGCGATCTCCAGACGACCGTAATCCAAACAGGAAATTATTCAGATCGATTGACCAAAAAAACCAGGAGTGCAGGTCCCAGCTTTGCTCAGATAAGGCCCCCGCACATACGGAGGTATGAACTATTGCAGTGCAGCATTCAAATGGCGTTCTTGACCAACAGTAGTCACAATAGTGTTGGTGATAGTAATGTTGGCGGCAGTAATGTTGATGTCAGAAGTGCTAGTGGTAAGAGTGTTGGTGATAGCAGTGTTGGTGGCAGTATTACTATTAGCAGTGATGGTGGCTGTAGTGCTGGTATAGTAGTGGTGGTGGTGGTAGTAGTGGTGGTGGTGGTGGTAGTGGCGGTCGTATTGTTGTTGGTAATAGTTTTAGTTGTAGTAGTGGTGGCGGTAGTGTTGCATCACTATCATATGGTGGTGTTGATCGTAGTGTTGATGGCAGTAGTGGTAGTGGTAGCAGTGGTGGTGGTAGTAGTAGTGTAGTAGCTGGTACATAGTACGGTGCACGTATTATCTACAAATATACGCGTACGCTAAGGTGCTCCTTGAGAGGCCTTTTAAGTGGCCAGCTCTACCAGTAGTAGTAAAAGTAGTAGTGTGTTTCCATCCTGTCACCTGGGGATCTCACAAATATGAACACTATTCTTGCATGCACTCACAGGTTGATTATTGTTTATATTGATATCCACCGCACATCGCCACTGCATTGACAGCCCTAATAGCACACGGTGTTTGACACACGAGGTCGGCATGGTGCCGACTGGCATATGTGTGTATGCATACCGTTACATTTCATAATAATGGTACGCGCCTTCCACCATTGCTGCCCCCCCAGCGGCGACTTCTTCGGGTTGAGTAAATAACTTTATGTTTCCATCCATGGCATCTATCATGGCGCCCTCAGCACATATTTGCTTGTTGTTGCTCGTGCAGCGATGATGGTTTCGGTGACACGGAGGCTACGGTGGTTTGCCGGGAGCTAGGGTACGAGAGAGGCGTTGCTGTACAGCAATGGGGTGGTGGCATCGGTCCCATCCTCATGGTGAGCATTGTGTGCATTGATTGCTTAATAAAACAGGTGGACAATCATGTAGTTGATAAATCCTGTATGTATCCTGATTTGGCAACGTATGTATCGGAGTTAGTAAAAGATGTATGTGCACCGTAAGCTCTGTATAAATGTTGATCATGCCTTCATCCCTATGTACGTGTTCGCAAATCCAGGCCCATGATAGTTGGCACTTAACACCCTCGTTGTTTTAGGCGAGCCGCACCACCAGCATGTGTATACACTCGCGGAACGCCGCCACTGGGTGCCTACCTTCTTAATATCATCTTATATGTGCTGCCATGCCGCCATGCTGCCATGCCGCGGTGACTCATGGGCGTGACCTTCTTACGGCCCCTCATATCTATTCTATGATTGCAAATACTAATTTCTGCACACTTCGGAGAAATATGGCAGTAATGGACGTTTTTGGCTGGGGGAATGAAAATGCATTTTTACATATGTATGTCGGCCTCAAATTATTCCAAAGGCCAAAATGCCAATTTATTCCTTTTAAGTAAAATATATTACTTAAAAAAACGCTGATTATTACCCATCATAATTCTTTAGGCCTTTCATAAAAGGCCACAAGGAATTTTGGGGGAAGGCCTTCCTCGGGCTTCCCCTAGGCCTAGGGCTGCTCTCCAAAAGGACGCGCTACATACATACACCTACAAAGCTACCGGTGCCTTTCGCAGGATGATGTTACCTGTTCTGGCTCTCCACCGCCGAGCCGGCTGTTCCAATGCCGCTTCAACGGCTGGTACATCCACAACTGCGTCAACTTTGAGGTGAGCGTGTATGAATGCAAAGCTCAACATATGATAGTGTCTGCTGACGTGCATACATACATATATATGTGGCAGGCGGCTGGCAGAGGTTAAGGCCTGACTTCTGCTCCCAGTTGACCCAGTCGACCCGGGTTCAAATCCGCCTGCCGGCTCCTCGGGTGTTTGAGGAGTGATGAAATGGGAGGTGGCCCCCCATCTTATGGACGGTGTAGGACGTGATAATATCAACTTGCGAGCTGACCAGGAACTAAGTTGATGCGCCGTTGATCCGCTAGATTTGGTTGGATGCTGGTGGTGAGTTGCCGAACTCAACGAATACATTCTGAAGTCGGATGGGGTGACGG